CCCCCCCCCCAGCCTCTGCCTAGGGAAAGGGCAGTCTTTCCCTGCAGTGGTAACCAAAGCAGCTGACATCATTCTCCTCTCCCCTATGAGGTATGTTATGCAACTGAAAATTCCAACTGCCTTGGGGGGGGTGAGTTTGAGGTGTGGAATGGAGTGAGGTCCAATCAGCTTCCATATGCAAATGACCTTGGAACGCTGGGCGGGACTGCACAAAGCAGCCAGTCAACCCAGCCAGTGTCTTCTGAGTGGCAGTTCTTCCGGCCTAACACTAAAGGGGCCAATTTTAGAACGTTGGTGCCCACTATTCAATTATTATAAGGGAGAGATTATTTTGTCCCTTTCATAATGATTTCCCCATAGATGGTTTCTTTACCTTGAGAACACGGAGACCAGATTTTTCAAGCTGTTTTTCTTTGTTTTTGAATTCTTGGAGATACGACTCTATTGGAATGACTTGGTAACAGTATTTGCTTGCCACCTCTGTGCATCCTTCTAGATGAAGATCATTTCCCAGACATCCTGGAGGCAGGTAACAAGATAGGCTTAATAACAGTAAAAGTAAGACTTCCAGTTTGGGCTGACATTTATTGGATAGGGATGCTACCAATCAATTTTATTTGCTTAATAAAGGGGAGAACAATACCCTCTGAAAAAGAGAATAACTGCTACGGGTTGTTCCTTTAACAAAGACCCATTCATGGCAGAGTAGACGTATTTCCTTGTAAGAGACACCTGGAGAATGTTTAATCTATTTAAGCCCAAAACATTAAGAGATTAGTGGTAACAAAGTTCAGTGCAATTTTTGAACATCAATTTTAATAATTAAGATGCAGGAATGACCTCTTGTGAAAGTGTTCGGTTCTGATGGCATTATGAGAAATCATCAACATATGCCTCGATTTAGACTAGTCATCTTAGTTTTACAGACATCTGTGTAAACATCCCCAAACAAAGACATTGAGATTCATTAATATACTGCTATTGGTTATTTCAGAATTTACAAAGTATGACAGTTTACTGTAAACGTTTAATTGTTAGACAGGTCCCACTCACCTTTTCAGTTACAGTTAGCTGATGATTAAATCAGTAAATGCTAAATTTCTCCTGAACTAGACCAAAATGTGTGTTTGTGTAGCACATACTTTATCTCCACTGATATTCTGGATGATTTAGGACAGCGTAGTCCACAGTAAGGAAGAATGTACAAAATCTCACAACATGACACCTTTTTATGAAAGTTTGATTCCCTCCATTTCTTTTTTTTGCATTAAATGTTCAGGCAGGAGCACTAGAATTTCCTGTGAAAAGCTACCACCGAAGGCCTAATCCAGTCTCCCAGAAATCAACCTATTTTTTAAAAAAGCTTCTGTGACAATGTAGTTCTTCCCCATTCCTTCTCAAAATCATGTATCATAGAATCCCCTCTGTGAACTAATGTGCTGACAAAGGGACAGAACAAAGATGTGAAAAAATATACTGTTACCAAAAAGGTGGATTTTGCTTGGCTGAAGCCAAGGAGTTCTGCGCACAGTGACTGAGATATGACCAGCAGCCTAAGATTTTTAAAGATACTCTGTTCGTGCCTGTTTGTGCTCAAGTGGTTAAGACGCTGAACTGCAGGCTGTGGAAGGTCGGTAGTTCAGCAGTTCAAGACCCGGGTGCGCCGCATGAGTGAGGAGTGAGGAGTGAGCTCCCGTCTCTAGTTCCAGCTCCTGCCAACCTAGCAGTTCGAAAGCAATTAATTGCAAGTAGATAAAAAGGTACCACTTCAGTGGGAAGGCAACAGCGTTCCGTGCGCCTTGGTGTTTAGTCATGCCGGCCACATGACCACGGAAACGTCTTCGGACAGCGCTGGCTCTTCGGCTTAGAAACGGAGATAAGCACCGCAACCCTAGAGTCGGATTCGACTGGCTTTCGAGCAAAGGAACCTTTACCGTTACCTTTACCTGTTTGTGCCCTTTGGTGCTGGAAGTACCAAGCATGACGTTTGACAGAATTATCTGCCTCAGGCATCCCTGTTAGCAATCAAGATATAACTGCAAAATATAATTAGGCTTCACTTTACTTTGCTCCCCACCAAGCTCTCTCAGATTTTACATCAGAGAAAGAAAAAATTGTACTGAGTTATTCATTATTACCTCTGTTTTTACTATCTGAATAACTACTTTGCATTAGGTTAGATCCCATGATCCATGGATGCAAGGATTCTGGATCTTTCCCATGTTTGCTGAATCCAACCCACTGTACACTTCCAGCATTTGCACAAGGGTTAGCAAAGTAGACAGCAAGGAATTGAGCCAAATGGAGTTTGTCAAAGGAGACACCAAGAGTCATGGGGGGACAGTAGGACTAGAATGTTTCAATAAGCCAAATTCCTCATCAGATTCTTGGCTCTCTGATGTACTCATGTATGTCATAACCAGGGGTCATTTCCTGCAGGAGCGCACAGGAGCGGAGCTCCGGCAGTAAGGAGCCAAGGGGGTGGGCACATGCAACAAGCCCCACCCCCTGCTCCCTGCAGCCCTCAGTTGGGCCACGAGGAGCAAGAAGTAACCAGGTAAGTTACAGAGCCCTCCCCCTGCCTTCAGTTACAGGCTCTCCCTCCTCTCTAAGGGCAGATCTGTGCGTTTCCCCCCCCCCCATAGCTAGCCATCCAAAACAGTCCAGTGGCACCTTTAAGACCAAGTTTTATTCAGGTACAAGCTCTCCCTCCTCTGTGAGGACAGATCTGCATGCCCCCCCCCCCACCCATACCTAGCAATCCAAAACACTCCAGTGGAGCCTGAACGGTGGGTGTTGCCTTCTGACACACTTCCGGTGATGCCAGGGGGTGTGGCATATGCAAACAAGTTATGCTAATAAGTTATGCTAATGAGCCCCTGCACCTCTTTTTCTACAAAATGACCCCTGGTCATAAATGAAGTGTGCGATATTACATACCATCTGCCTTTAGGTGTTCTTGGTCAGTTGTATTCTGTAGCATGAATTCAATGGCAAATGTTGCATCAATCACAGCTTGGGGGGGACCTTCAATCGCTAATGCCGGCCCCTCTCTAGTCAAACTCTCCAGGATGGTGAGACCAAAATGCTCTTGCAGATGGGACAGCTCAACAGGCTGACTCTGGCCAAGGCTCAGATGGCTGTAATTTCTTATAAGGATTTGGTGCGTGTCCTCGACCTGTATTATGCTCTTGAGCCACAGTCCTGCTTCTTCTAAGGTTTCACGGCTACATCCAATGAGTTCTACAAATGGTCCATTTTTTCCAGAACATTCCTTGGCTTGTATGTCAGTCTGTACCTCTGGAAAAATAGTGAGTGCAAATGTTATTTTTTAATCTCGAAGGAAACCAATAGGTGCATAAGAAGCTTTATTTTCTGTAACTCTTCTTGCGTAGTAAATCCAGTTCTTGTTTAAAAAATTATCAACAGGATCTCCACTCATTTTACCCATTCTGTGTATTTCTTACCCATAGCATCCATACTGCAGCAGTCCATTTTTTCTTCCAGTTTACTTTTGATTGACATAATCTTGGTACAGAAAGCCTTTAAAAAGAGTGAAACAAACCATCAATAAAGGTATGGTCATTTCTACCTGGTAATGGTGGTTATTTGTGTCTGTTTTAATATATCCTTACCCAATAGGGATCCCAAGTCCCCCCGTGGGGCGGGGATACCCCCGCCCCAGAGGCCCGTTCCCCGGCGGCGCCGGATCGGGCCCCAGGGGGAACTCCTCCCCGACGTGCGCGTCACCCGGAAGTGACGTTATGACGCCGGGCACGCTGGGGGTGGGGCCACGGCCATACAAAGGAAAACTCTATGGTTTTCCCTTGTATGGTTGTGGCCCCGCCCCCAGCGTGCCCGACGTCATAACGTCACTTCCTGGTGACATGCGTGCGACGCGCGCACGCTCTGGGATCCACCCGGGAGTTCCCCGCCACCAAGGTAAGTCCCACTTGGCAACCCTATTACCCAAGCTCAGGAATCAAAATAGGAAGCTGGGAAACAAGTCTATTCCAAACATCTTCTGTAATGGGAACAGCATGCTTTCAAGTTATTATGCAAACTATGCTATGTTGGATGTGATTATTAGCAACATTTCCATTTCATGGTTGTTTCAGTGTTGTGCTTGGTACCAAAAAGATGTTCTACTTCTCTGCTGTTAGAAGTGAAAGCTCAAAATGGTTGCACCAACTTAGGCTCACACAGAGCTTAACAAATTCCAGGTGTCACTGTGGCACCTAATATTTTAACACTGATTTTTATTGCACTAACTCTTAGTGACCCCTTGATAGAGCTCTTTTATTACTTCACATCAGAACATGTCTTATTGTATGATATTCTTGACACTGCTTGCATGCTTTTTCATGTAAATGTTATACTATTCAGTTGTGGGAGATGAACTGATTTCATAATCAGTTGCTTTCTATACTGGCTTTGATATTCAATTAAACAGAGCTTTATGCAATAATGAAATTATAAGAAATCAGGGAGAAATCTCACATCAGAACATGTCCTATTGTATGATATAAAAGTACATGATATTCTTGACACTGCTTGCATGCTTTTTCATGTAAACGTTATACTATTCAATTGGGGGAGATGAACTGATTTCATCATCAGTTGCTTTCTATACTGGCTTTCATATTCAGTTAAACAGAGCTTTATGCAATAATGAAATTATAAGAAATCAGGGAGAAATCGGAAGTTATTAGAAGATGTGTACATTAAAATAGAAACCTTGAAGGCTGAAAGGTTAGTTTGGCCCTACATTTTTGGACTAGTTCCTAGATCCACAGAAAATCTGTCAAGGCCTGAGATAGGATATACGATACACTTCTTCAGTGCCTGGAAACAGATTGTCCTTTTCCACAGCAGAAAATCAAGGATTTTCACTTTGTGCAGTGCTATCTTACAGGATTTTAGATCTGTGTTCAGGTTAGACCAAACACCATTGGCATGGAGGCTGTATAATCCCATGCCTGGTGAGGCTGGTCTATTACAGCAGAACTTTTCATACTAGTGAGCCTTTGTAACATTAACTCTCAAATGAAAAACTCACCAGCTTCCCTACCTCAAGTCATAGGATGTGTGTGTGTGGGGGGGGGTGCTACATCAAGGGGGCAGAAAACTGCTGTTCCTGAGTCTTGAGAAGGCTTTTAGAAACTGCTGCTTTAAGTGCCTGAGGAAAAAAACAGTGTTATATAGGCCAGGTTCTTTATATATATATTCAAAGAAGGTAAAATTGGACTGGTAACAGAAAAGGACCTCACCTGCTGGGCGTTGCCCTCGTGATGAGATGGCCATATCACATGAAGCACAAACTCACAGGTGATGTTGTACCCTTTGGTGCATACCAGTTTGGAGCAATCTGCTGGAAGTTTCTGTAATTCAGAAAGAAATTGCTCCTGCAAAGGCAGACCTGCTTTTTCTAGAATTGCTCTTGAAATGGTTCCTTGTGAAAGATCGTCTTGCACAATCACAGAGTTGATAATAATGGCAGTCTGGAAGAGAACAGTGTAAAATCTGAAGCCATTTCAATTGGGAGGGACACGTACAGTTTCTACGTAATGCATTTCTGTATCTTTCATGTTTTTATCTTGCCCTTGCTCCATGCAACTCAGGGTGGCAGATGCCTTCCAGATATACTTGAAGTACTTTCAGCGCATTCACAGAACCTCATCCAAAAGGCTATGTGGACATCAAGCCTAGTTAGTGACTGCCTGGATGGACACATTCCAAAGGCTTGGTTATTTTTTCCAACCTAATACAGATATTCTTGGCAAGCTAAGGCACCCATACTATTCTTTGACATGTTGGAAAAAAGTGGTGCAAATCCAACTTTCATTTGGAGGAAGTTCCTTCAGCCTAAGGAGCCTTCTTCCAGCTTAAGTTCCTCTGCCATTGGAGGAAGGCTTCAAACCTTTCTCAGGTGGAGTAGTAGGATGCATACCAGTGTGGATTTGCTCAAGAGAAAGTATCTTGTTAACATACTGTCTTGTGCTTGGAGCTGCGGTGGCTCAAGTGGTTAAGACGCTGAACTGCAGGCTGTGGAAGGGCAGTAGTTCAGCAGTTCGAGACCCGGGTGCCGCATGACGGAGTGAGCTCCCATCTCTGGCCCCAGCTCCTGCCAACCTAACAGTTCGAAAGCAAGAAGTTGCAAGTAGATAAATAGGTACCACTTCAGTGGGAAGGTAACAGCGTTCCGTGCGCCTTGGTGTTTAGTCATGCTGGCCACATGACCACGGAAATGTCTTCGGACAGCGCTGGCTCTTCGGCTTTGAAACGGAGATGAGCACTGCAATCCTAGAGTTGGATTCGACTGGCTTTCATCTTTTTAACATACAGTCTTGTGCACATACCATAGCAGAGTAAAAGAGAAGCCTTCTTGGAGGAACAAGGGGACAAGATACAGGACCTGCCACTTCCTACCACACTAAACTACTTATCTAGCACCCGTGAACATTTAGACCAAGTCATGGGAGGGAAATTAACCAGCACTCCAAACCTCAAGGCTGCCCCAAACCAGTCAATTGTGGAATCAGCCTCAGACTCCGTAGTTCACATATCCGCAGCCTGTAAGTGTACAGGGACTTACCTGCTGATTTTCTATGTTCCCTTTTTTGATCTGCAGGCAGAGGTTGTTCACTGTGATGGAATCTGATGCTCCCTTCAGCGGCACTATGTCATTCACACCAAGCAGCTCTTCACAAGCCCTTTTCATTATTTCAACTGTGGGCTCATCAGTGTTCACAAGGTGGATTTCTTGCAAGTAGCCAAATAATGGAGCAAGCTGAATAAAATTCTTTATAGTCTGAACGACCACTTGAGCGCATAGATCCAGTGGGAAGTTGAAGAATCCTGAGCTCAGCGCAGGAATGGCTACCGACTTGATATTGTTTTCTGGCGCATTACCATATTTCAGAATATTTATAATGGCTGTTTCGAGTCTGAGGCAACATTCTTCCCTCTGGTCTTCCGACCACCTTGGGCTTACTATATGGATCACCTGCTTGCAAGGGAGTCTTCCTCCACTCGTGACTGCAATCTGGCCAGCACGGAGAGGTCCGTTCTTTTCAATAAAACGCTTGCACTGCTCTTCAATTTCTGGCCCGCCAGCTTTCAGAAGGGCAAATGCCAGGCCTCCAAAATGATGCAGGTTTTCATTGGCTGTGTTCACCAAAGCATCGGCTTCGTGTCTGGTCAGGTCATCTAATAAGACTGAAACTTCAACTCCTTCTTTCAAGTTTTTCCTATACACTTCTGTGGGGTTCCTTTTACTTTTAAGGTTAGTTATGCAACCAAACTTCTTCTGAAGCAGACGGCATAGGTAGTTCTCTCTTCTCTTAAGAATTGCATAAAGGTTGCTGCTGATGTGAACTGTTAAGATTTCCTCGTCCACGGACATGCTGTTATCTACATGATGAAAGAAAATAAACATTTGGGGTTTTTCTGAAAACAAAACAGATTCTTTTTCTCTGCTTACTTTTACAGGTTTTTTCCCTGTTTTCTATCTAACATTACTTCAGAAAGACAGGGAAATTATTGGCCAGTAAATAATATTCACATAAATAAATGTAATACTGACTGCATTTGTTACTCAATTTATTTATAACAGAAGATCAGCTAACAGCTCAAACCTAAAAGTTGAAGAGCTAGTAAATAATTGCTTTGGCTGAAGTATTATGTCATCCATGTCAGCAATACATCACACATGTGAGCCAATACATTTGCCAGTGTTATCACTGCACACAGGCCCAGGAGCAGTGTTCCCTCTAAGCTGAGTTAGTGTGAGCTAGCTCACAGTTTTTTAGCCTCCGGCTCACACATTTCTGTCTCAGCTCAGGAAGGAGGGCTAACTAATTTATGCAGAAGCCAAATCACCTGCTCACAACTTTAACACCGGTAGCTCACAAAGTAGAATTTTTGCTCACAAGACTCCACAGCTTAGAGGGAACATTGCCCAGGAGGAAAGAGGAAAGTGCTACAGCACAAGACTGAAAGTCTTGGGCTATAGATCAACAGCCCTGTAGGGCTGATTGTTGAGCTTAGGAGCCAGATGATTGGAAAGGTGTTTATGGAAGCCATGAGCCTGAGCTATTCACAGTGCCATCCTAAAGAGATCAGCTAGATTTAAATCCAGTAGCACCTTCAAGACCAACAATATTTTCAGGGTATGAGCCTTAGAAAGCCAATGCTCCCTTCATCAGATACAAGTAAGAATTGAGATCTCTGACTCCTTTTATCACTGTCAGAAGGTGGGAGGGGTTTTGCAAAGAAAGAACTCAGGATGCAGAGGTACAATGCACATTGTAATCAGCTTGATTATGGCAGAGGAAAAATGGCTTAGGGGCAGAAAATTAGCATCTGTAGTGAGATAAGAATCTTATGCTCCTGTTCAGCCCTGGGGGGCTCCATTATTCTGAATATGTGAATGAACTTAAATTCAGCAATCTGACATTGTAATCTCCCCTTGAAGCGTCTCTGAGGACTACTACTCTTAGGTAAGCCATGGAATGTCCTAGAAGATTAAAAAAGTTCTTGCATATATATTTTTTTTGCATTGTGGTTTATGTTAGATTTATGTCCATTTATTGTTTTGCATAGGGGTTGTCCTGTCTGTCCAGTGTACAGAGTGGAAGGGCATTGCTGACATCTGATGGCATATACAACGTTGGAAGATGAACAGGTGAATGAACCTGAGATGATATGACTGGTGTTGTTAAGTCTGGTGATTGTGTTGTTAGAGTGAATACGGGGATAGCATTAGCATCTTGGTTTGTTGTAGGCCCCGGTCCCAGAGTCCAGTGTCCATGTTAGGAAGTGCATTGCTGTGGGTGAGACGTTGTTTAAGGTTCAAAGGTTGCCTGTGGGCAAGAAAAGATTTGCCTCCCAATGCCTGTGAGAGAGGAGTATCATTGTCCAGGACAGGTTGTAGGTTGATAATAATGGGTTAAATTGGTTTAATCTGAGTGTCCTGTCCAGCGGAGCTGTGGCTAAGCCAGCGCTTTCTAGGTGTGAGCCAACACATGACCACTGAAGAAAGCTTAAATCATCTTTATTCAACTTCACACGCATTCAGAAGATCATTTACTCACAATAGCTGGGTGGAAAGTTACATCTTTTGATCTAGGTTAGTTCAATAGCCGCGGTGAGAAAGAGATGGGCTTCCCCTCTCCTTTGCAGTAAGGGTTGATGAACAAAGAAAATGGAAAAGAACAATAAAATCCTATCTTTGTGCCTCTGAGCTCAGGAAATTACTCTTAATGAGCCAGTCAGAGGGAAGCTTCTGGGACCCCTAACTGTGGACTCCAATTCCCAGGTGCACAAGTCTTAAAGATACAGAGAATAGGGTGAATAAGATGTAATGAAAATTATGGACTGTATGATTTCTCAAAGATTGAAAAATAAAAATTTTGTTTACCCAAAAAAAGATACAGAGCAGTTTTACTAAACTACAGATAACGCTGACTGGGGGCAGCATACTGAGAGCTGTATGTGACCACCAGTGATGTTCTGCTGTTGTTTTGTTTGGGCCTATCTTTTACCACGTTATCCTTTGGTATCATCCTAAAGAGGGTTAAACCATTTTAAGTCCATTGAAGAAAATGGCCTTAGAAAGCATACCTGCCGAGGATGGTGTAATGATTTAAAGTATTAAGTGTATGTTTCTTTAAATGTTTGGTAAGTTTCAGAAGAGAAAGAGGGTGAAAGAGGGGGATGAGTGAGTAAGGTGATTGGCTGGTGACTGGGAGTGCATCAGAGGAGCTAAGAAGGGGAAAAAATATAGCGAGAGAGAAAGCAGCCGTTAACAGCAGTAGTCCATCAGCAGAAAAACAGACAGCAGTCAGCAGAGGCTGAGAGACCTGACTTCCGTAAAGTTCAGTCAACAGGACTGAAAGAGCAGTCTTCTGATAAGAATCCAAAAAAGTGCTGTGAAAAGCATTAGGATTCTAGGGAAGAAAGTAGTAAAACTTATAGAGGACATATTAGAGACTAGAGACAGTCAAATCCTAATATTGTCAGAGTATTATAAGAATGTGAGAGAAAGAAGCTGACAGAAACCTGAGTTAGAAGAAAGAGAAATATGTAACTGAGCAAAATATATTAAAGCTAAGGACCAGGTACATTCTGAAGAGAAAGGAGGATTTGAATGAGAGGAGTGATTGTGGAGAGAAAGAGTGTGACAACTTAGTCAGAGGTTATTAACTTCCACTGTTTATTTAATGAAGAGATAACTTGCTAAACATCCTGAAACCAATATGCTTCTTGTACACATAAAACTTTATTTTGTTTTATGTAAACCTGGAGTCATATGCTGTTAAAATACAAGAGTCTCATCCTCAGGACCACATAGTCCACCGAAGGGTCCTTAGAACTTGGGCACAATACTATGGGAATGGTTAAATAATAAAATTGGGATTAAATTCCTGGCGGCAGCGCTACAGAGAGAGAGAGAGAGAGACCTTATCTAACCACCAAAAATATAGAGCAGTTGTGACAGATGGCATTGTAACCGTAACTGGTAGTCAACTTCCCCCTATATTCCTTGCCATCTGGAAGGCAATCAGCATATTCAGCAGTGCTAAACCCTTTTTTGTTTCTTACTTTATAATTCGCAAATGCATATTATTCTGCATACGTGGGGAAATGCAGAAACTTTTCCTTTTCTGCAGACGACTCCATTTTTCTGGCTATTTAGGCTCTCTACTATGAACTTCAGTTTTAGAGGGGGGAAACTGGAGACCTATGACGAATTGCAGAAGAATGGGGTAAAGGACCAGGGATTCTGCCCCCTCCAGCCAAAAGTCTCTCCCTTGCAGATTCTATATGCTCCTGAAGGTCCTGAGCAAGCCAATTTCCCCATCTGTTTATCTGTTTCCTTTTGATACTCAGGTGCTCTCAGATTTCTATGTCGCCTGGGGGGCTTCTATTTTGATTAACCCTTGAGTATGTAAAAAACACGGCCTCATCTGTTAGTGGCCTGGTTTAACTGCTTTTATGATTGGTACAAGCCTCCCTCTTTATTATAAGATATATTATGATTATGATGGTTCCCTCCCCTCAGTAAGCAATGCCTGTGTGTGTGTGTGTGTGACTCTGTCAGTAGAGGAGGATGGCAGATCAGCACTACAAGTATTCCTGTCATGTAAGAATCTGGACAGGAGGCCTGAGCCTAAAGCCCTTGGTCTGATGTTCCTGAAAAGCAGAAAATCCTACTCAAATTGTTAATATGCAACCAAAGGCATAAAGAGAGTTACCTACCTGTATTCTTTTCAGTCGTCTCAGAACTGGAAGCCTGGGGAAGCAAAATAACAATAGAACCATAATTCCTCTACTGTGGAATAATATTTCTGTATTTTACTCCCCATTCAAAACCCTTTGCTCAACAAGTCCCCCAGATGGAGAAAACACATTCCGGTTCAACAATCCCTCTTTTCTCCATTTGGTCCCAGCCGCAAAGAGAACCCATATTTCCTTACACAAAGATGAGTAGGACCCAAACAGTGCAATCCTAAACAAAGTTATACTTTTCTAAATCTGCTGAAGTCAATGGGCTTAAAAGTGTGTGACTTTGCAGAAGATTGCACTGAAAGATTCCTATTTTTCCTTTCATACTTTTGACTTTGGAAATACAGGAGTGGAAACTAGTCAGAGGGTCAAAAATACTGGTTTTGCTGACCAAAATTCCAAAAAAAACTGACCAAATACTGACAAAAAACTGACAGATTACTGAACAATTGAATGTCAGCCTATTGATAAACTAGCATTTTAAATGTAAAACTAGGACTTCATTAAAAACAATTATTATCTGGCCTCCACCATCCCCATAGCCGGCCCCAAAGTCAGGCGTGTCTTTTCAAAGAACTGATTCAAGTATGTATCTGTGCGGCATGTTTCACTGGCAGTTTCATCTACTAGAAGTTTCCATTCATCCACAATCATGTCCGGTGGCATACCCACCGGGAGTGCTGCTGCTACCTTCATTACATCCTTGTGGGTTCCTTCCTTGACCCTCTGTGCTGAAGCTAAACATTGACGATATCTGAGGATGGGCTTGTCCAAAGATGACTGGAGTTTGTAGGCTGCTATGAAATGTTTTTTTGCTCCCGTTAAAAAAAGTAGCTGTTCCTTTTCAGAAAGTTTTTTCAGTTCGTCACAGATTCTACTTTCACTGATTACTTCTCTCACAGGTATGTAGTGCTCATCACTGAAGGCTTCAAGAGACAATGGTGCTGAACTCTTACAAACACGATTCATGATGGTTCTTGTGAGTGTTTTTACTTCACTGTGCATCACACGCACCAAAGGCTCTTCTTTCTGGAACACTCCAGTGAACTTTGTAAATAAGCAGGCACTCATGCAAAAAATAAAAATCACCTCTGCTTTCATTGTCTTGTGTTTTAAGAGGTTAATTATGTTTCTATACTTTGTGGAAGATTTCACCAAAACACTTTTACTCTTAGGAACAAAGTCCTTAAAGTACATCATAACTGAACTAAAAAAAATCTGTCTTCTCACTGGGAAGTCATTGTGTTTTCCCCAAATGCAGTAATGAAAACAAAAAAACACAAACTGCATTCACAAAAATCAAAGAAATACTGACTTTACTGACCAATTTTTTTAAAAAAAAAAAACTGACAAATTACTGACCAACATGAAAAAAACTGACTTTTACTGATTTCACTGACCATTTTCCACCCCTGAAATGTCTTTTCTTTTACATCCTGACTTTGGGAAGTGACTATCTGTGCTAACTTTTAACTTTCTGCATCATTATTCAACATAAATCAATTTAAACTCTTCTTATCTCCCTTCTCGTATTTGAATAAAAGTTCAAGCTTGTGAGTCGGGAAACAACTGCTTTGTGATCACTGTCCTTATTACTATTATTACTAAGCAGAATGGTTAACAATAACAATTCCAGCTGGCCATGAACAAGAGGGGACTTCTTACACATTCTGAAAGTTAGATTTAATTCTATAGAATTCTATAATTCTACTAGATTTGGAGGCGGTTGGTGAGTTTATACTTTGAACCTTTGCTATGTCTTGATACCACTTGTTTCTTTGACCAAAGAAGTCCTGGTCTAAGGAAATTCCCTGCTCTTGATTATCTATGTACACTTTTTACCCTACCTCCAAGGAGCATAAAGTGACATCATTGTGTTTGGTTCTCATAGATTTGCTTTTACTCTTGCAAGATTAAATGCTGTACCATCTGCAGAATTAACGGGACGTTTCTCACGAACTCCGTATTCAGACAGGCTTTGTACCTGCGCTTCTGGCGAAATTGAAACGCTGACACATCTCCTTTTGTTTTGTTCTCATTGGTTAGCTCTTCGGTCATATTGGGTATATCCAATTTTATCTAAATTTTATCTAAATACCATCTTGGACTGCAAGAAGATCAAATCAGTCAATCCGAAAAGTAATCAACCCTGACTGTTCCCTGTAAGGCCAGATAATGAAACTGAAGCTCAAATACTTTGGCCACCAAATGAGAAGGGAGCACTCACTGGAGAAGACCCTGATGCTGGGAAAGACTGAAGGTCAAAGAAGACGGGGACGGCAAAGGATGAGATGGTTGGACAGTGTCATAGATGCAACTGA